GAATATACTTTTTTTCCTATATTTCACATTAAACTCATGAAAAATCAGTGAAAATAAATTTCAAGCAAAACGCCCAAAAAGCCTTTTCAGCGAAAATAAAGTATTCCACAGTATTCTACAGTAGTTAATCAACATGCACAGAGTTGTGTCATAATCCAATCAGGTATGGTGCTCATGGTGTAGCAGCTGTTGGCGATGTTTTATTTCAATCCAACCTGCGGTTCATGTGAGATATAAGTGGAATACAATTTGACACGTACACAAACAGATGACAAAAACAGGCATCAGTTCTGTAAAACCATTTAATTTCACTATTTTGATGTTTTGAGCATATTCACTGGGTTTTAATTTCACAAATTTGTCAAAGGAACAATGATTTTATTGTTATTTTAAATGTTCACGTAGATTTAATTTTAGAAATTTTTCTAGCAAAAAAATAGCAAAATTAAAACCCAGTGAATAATCATGTACAGTGTATTTACAGTATCCATTTTGAGCACATGCAAATTAGGACATGTTATCAGCAAAGCTAGGAAAATCAGAACAGTAGTCATCATTATTATTATTATTGAAGAACATTGGGTAGCACACATCACATACATTGTAATAAACAAGTCTTTGAAAATGACACAGGTCCCCGTTAAATTTTTGAAAGTTCTCTTTGTGCTCATCATATTAAAGCAACGGGGATGTCGTGAGCGTGTCCTTGAAACTTGAGTCCCAAGTAGCAAATACAGTAGAACGTTGATTATCCGTACTGTTAGGGAGACATGCTTTTTGTTTGGTTATGCAAACAGTTCGGATATGCGATCTTGTGTGGCGTGCTCAAATTTACAGGCTCACGTACACACAAATTCTAACGCACATGACTGTAATGAAATCAAACAATAGTACATGTAGAGTACGTCATTAAAAACATTTTTATTTAATCAGTAATACATTGTAATAAAAATGTTGCATGCTGGAATGTTAAACAAGCAGCCTATCGGCTGAGATAGCTCCGCTGTTAGCAATGCACATTTCAATTAAAGAACTGAAGACATCATTAGAAAATGAACAATATGTATAGTATCAAAGCAATCGAACTTACAGTTTTTAACAAGAAGTCGAAAATATCACTTTCTACCAAAAATGACAAAAATATTCACCAAAATTAGAGAATTGAAGATATCATCATGAAATGAACAAAGCTGAGAAAGGTCTACATGTAGTATCAAAGCAATTGAACTTTTGGTATTTAACAAGAAGTCGAAAATATCACTTTTTACCAAAAATTACAAAAATATTCACCAAAATTAGAGAATTGAAGATATCATCACAAAATGAACAAATCTGAGAGAGGT